CGAGTTCCGTCCTACTAAAACGGAAACACGCTTTTGCCATTAACGAAATATGAATGTTAACGTTTCAATCCGCGAAAGAGTGATATAACGTGAAACAGTAGAACAACTATTGACTTTATGATAACAATATAATCCTGCACAGTTGTAAAAATTCATAAATTCCTTATTTTATGTAGACTAATTGAATTAATGTTTTTCGTAGTTTATAAATATACACTGATTCTTCAATTTAAGATGTATGCGCAAGCGCCTTCCTACGTGGGTATATTAGTGGATGATACGCACGCGCACGTACATGCGTACGTCAGTTAATGAAAATTTTAAATAAGTGAAATCAAATTTTCTTAACGATGCTTATTTAAAATTTTTTAACTTTTAGCCAAGGAGGTTAGGTAACAGAAATAAACAACCGTTACCATTCTATAAAAATTTCTTAACGAGAAATTCCAAGAAAAACTAAAGAAAAAAAGATAATTTTCAACGTCCTTGGCGAATTACATCACGTTAAAAAAAAACCATTATGAAATTTAATAAAATTATGAATAATCTTCTAAAATATTATATAGTTGTGGATTCATAAAACAATATATATTACATGTGTATACCGCATTATACTCCTATATTCAGTGATAAGGAATAGAAAAGAGATTTAAAAAATATAAATACAGTATAAGTTCCAAGTAGTGTGGTATTTCTGAGGGTTAATTGGAAATAATTTGACACGTCTGAAAGGTGCAACGACCTCCTCGAGGGTGGACTTTTAAATTGGAACAGATACAGGTCACAGCACCTACGCGTATACCTATAAACCTTGATGCGACATTGGAATCGATAATCACGAAGAACTCGTGCGGTTTCCGTACCGTTCAAATATAAAAAGCGACTTGTTTTCCCGTGGATGGACAATAATCGATCGCTTGCACCATTGATAATGATTGATATTCAATTAACGTTCGAAACTGCCCGCGATAACTGCTGATAAATACTCACAATCATTTCTTGACATTTAAACTGTAACATTAATGCCTTTTCATTTCTTTTCTTTTATACTATCAAATTTATTTTGTGTGTAATATACATTGCATAATAAAGATTTATTCAATCAAATTTATTCATAACATACAACGTTGAGTCGATAGTTACTCAAAATTATGTTACTTTAACGACCAATCAGGGAAAAACGGTTTTACTCTTGAATTCAAACATTCTTAACTTTCAATGTGTTTATAATATGGCAAGAAGTGTACGGAGTATAAATTGTATATGTCGGGACAATTCGTCAATATTCGAATGTAAGACAGTTTTTCTAACGACACCCAGGAAACGTTATGTCACTAACAAGCTTCGACTTCGTCGTGACGTTCATAAACCGATAATATCGTAACAGCCACCTTGTATCGCAGGAAGCGTAGGAAACCTGTTATCAGTTGGAATCCTGTAATTCGAAAACTTTCACTCGTCGTTTAGTTGACCAGAAATCTCGGATTAATTCAACACGAACAATTTTCTAACGATAAACACCTGAATATATCGATAGAATGATCTATGAAATAATCGATCTGATAATACACATATCTGTGATCTGTGAATCAAATCGATATATCTAATGGTCTTTACGATTTACGTCAATGCAAATTTCTATGGTTATCGATAACGGTTATACGTGTTAACGTAATCGTAACGGTGGCAGGTGCTTTGCCAGCGAGACGTACAATCGATACTAGCAACTCAACTCAACTCAACTCATCTCTCTCTCTCTCTTTCTCTCTCTCTCTCTCTCTCTCTCTCTCTCTCTCTCTCGTGTGTGTGTGTGTGTGTGTACTGTGCAGAAAAAACCAACCATTCGAAACTTTTGAAAACGTAAATTGATACAGGTCGTTTCTGATGACGCATATATACCAATACCTAGTCGGTATACGACCGTCAAACAGCGACACACAAAGTCACACGAAATACTTTCGGCCTTTTTCCCGACAGTACGATCGATTCTTTGTAGGTGTATACTTTCGCAGGTCACGAAACACGTACTTTCGTTCGCGTAACTTGCCTCGAAATGGAAAGTAACCCGTTAAACGGGAAAGCTACGCTTCAGGACGTGACTAATGCGGCAACGTCAACACCCAGCCGCTGCCTAAGTTCATGCACCTCGTAAAACCGTTCGATCCCAAGAAAAATTACAAACACGACTTGCAACAACCACACATACACGTTCATATAAGGGCTGATATCCTCAGAAGAATAATTCGAACGATGTAGCCTCTCGCTTTTCCCATTAAAGGAGAAATTGGCAATTGAAGAAGTTATCTCAAAAGGGCATCGGTGTACTTACATTCGAGATGTTTCTTCTTAGGACCAATCAGCTCCTCGGTGGTGGCTTTGCATACAGCCTTGGCCAAGCCCTGGCCGGCGATGCTGTGTCTAGCGGCCAGTAGCCTGTCGTTGATCGTCTGTCCCGCCATACTGTTGCTGCTGTCACACTGGAATCTCTTTGAATCTCACGAAACCCTGAACAGGGTTCTATTATCACTTTCAGAGGCCGTACTTGAGTCGTGTCACAGGGCACACTACCGACTTGGCGAGAGATACACACGATCACACGTTTAGACAATTTTCTCGATTCGATGATTTCCCGGCACCCGGCTTGCTGGTTCACGAGGAGAGCTCTTTTGCGCGCGCGTTCACACCTCAGCTGGGTGAACGACGGCTCAGCTCACGGCCGACCACGGAAGGCTCTCGCAACCTGCCAATATGGCGTCCCAGACCTCCTGCTCCCTCGCCGGACCGATCACTCCTGACAGCCAATCCTGCTCTTCCTCCGCGACACACGGTCTACAGTTTCTGACGTCATACCACGCTAGTCAAAAGAACCTCCATTTATTACTTGGAATAATTTTTCGAAAAATTCTTATTGTGTAAATTGTGAAAATTCATATTTCCATTTAATTACGTGAATAATTACATCAACATTCTTTAGATATACATACACTTTATGTTGGTTATAAAGTACCTAAGCTGCGTTTATGTGATGTAACATTTTGGAAATTTGAAAAGTTAGAAATTTTATATTCAACAATGAAAGATCTTTTGAAAAATCTTTCATACTATTAAAATTTATATTTCTATGTCTAACACTATACTTTTTCAGCTTTTTGTTTATTTGTAAAGTAGAATGATTTGTTCTTATTATTTATATGAAATGTGTAAAATGGAAAGAATTGTTTGGAATGTTGACGGTTTTTTAAATTTTTGTAGATAGAGTAATAAAAGTAAATGTAATATCTTTGTTATTAAAATATCGATCGAAATGGGTGTCTCCGCGATAAGTTTGAAATCGATAACAACGGTTCAATTTGTGCGCACGCAGATTCCCGACGAAATAATCCATCTAATATATGTCATATCAATGATCGCACAGAAATTTTTTTACTTATTGTATATTTAATCATTGCATTTTTAATCAAATCATTTATGAACTAATTATAGTAAATTAAATTTAAATGCAGTAAAAATTTCCATGCATCCGTAGATGTAATGTAACTAGATATATTTGAAATTAACAATTCGAAATGAACATGCCGCAAGAATAATAAATACTGGTAAAAATCCATAAATGTAGGATATATGTTAATATAAATTCATAATTTTTTGTTTAATTTGAACGTTAATTAATTGGTAGTAAATAAAATAAATCTAGGAATATCAATGCTATTAATGTTGGTACGAATACATGTTGCGATAATACGAAACCATAGTAGAAATTGAAATATCAACGAATTAGTTCGAGAGAATTGAGGGAAACAAATTTTCTCTTAAAAATGCGTATGTAACCAATAAATTATTCATTATTGAGTTATAACGAATTTTAAAAATCTTCTTTATGTAATATACTAATAAAAAAATTAATTAAAAAGAATATACCAGACTATCTGGTTAGTTTGTACTATAACCATGTCACTACGCTGCTATCAATTCTTCTGCAAATAGTAATGGACCGATTAAATTAGACAATAAATTAATATTTTTGCTTTAATTTTTCAGCTGCCAGTAGCGGAGTATCTTTTGTATTGTCATTGATTCTAACAGTCCTTGTATTTTCTGGAATGCAAATATACAAAACATGGCTAGCATCGTCTCAAATTTATACAATATTGGGAGGATACATTGGCTCTATATTATTTATGTGTGTGTTAACTGCAATAGGAAATTTAGAAGCAACAATATTTGGCAAATCTTTCCAACAGAAATTATTTCCTGAAGGTGTGTTGATAATGCTTTATTTCTGTATGAAATAATTTAAGATAATGTAATTTTTTTTTTACAGTTATATTTTCACTAATTGTTAGCCTAATTGCATCGGGATTAGTGCATCGTGTGGCAACCACAACATGTTTCTTGTTTTCTATGATTGCATTGTATTATATTAATCGAATTTCTCAGGAAACATATGCTACACCAGTGCCTACAATATCAGTACACACAAAAACAAGAAAACATGGTCACTGGAACATGATGTAATTATTTTGCTATACTACTGTATTAAGAAAAAAAACCTAAGTCTATATCATAATTCATAAATCTATTTTAACTTATAAACTATTGGATAAAATTGTTTTGTTACTATGGGTTTGTACTTATTCATTTTTTCTCCCAAATGAAATTAAATTCATTAAATACACCTGGAGGTAGATAATAAAAATTAAGATGTATTTATATTTCTTATAAGTATTTTACAATAGTTTAGGATTTTGTTTTCTTTTGCTTTCTCTGTGTTTTTCTGCTTCTTCTTTGTCACTGAAATACTCAAAAGTCTCATCTGATTCATCTATCCGATTCATCTTATCCTTTATATCATCACTGTCCAAAGTGGGTTTAGCCATAACGTGTTTGTAAATTGTCATTGCCTAAAACAATGAAATAATTGTATGTAATAGTATATACTGTGTTAAGCAACAAATATATAATTTTTGATGACATACTTGTGATACCAGGGAAGACACGTCAGACACATTACTAGGCAAGATTAAAGTATTATTGACTTTGGCCAATTTATTAAATGCTTTAACATACTGTTCTGCTATACTATATGCAGCTGCATTCTTCGCATCTGTTAAATTAAGAGCACCTGCTACAAGTTTCAAACTCTTTGCACGTGCTTCTGCAATAGCCACCAAAGCACTTGCTGTACCAGCTGCCTTATTTATTTCTTCCTGTTTGGCAGCCTCTATAAGTATTTATTAATTTTCAAGTTAGAAGGATAGACTAATCATTAAAAGATTCTATTACCTGATGCTAGAATCTGCGCTAAACGTTTTCCTTCAGCAATATTTATTTCTGCTTCCCTGACACCTTCTGATTCCAAAACTGCAGCTCGTTTTTTTCGTTCTGCTTCTACTTGCATTTGCATTGCTTCTTGTACCCTTTGTGGTAATCTAATGTCACCTATTACAAAATTGAAAATGGTAACCTAATTATGAAGCATATTTTAACCAATTTCTTCAATGAATACAATATTATTTTAGGATATAATACAGTATCTGGACTGCAAAATTTTTTATCTTAATGTGTCTTTTCGGCGGTATTTTAAGTCGCTAAAGCAGAAAAACGAACGGTTTTAAAAATTCAGTATTATGGACATTTAGCCATCGGGTTGAATTTTGGGAGCATTGTTACGTACTTTGACGAAGTCCAATACCAAAACCACAACCCAACTCAGATGTGCTAATCAAACCATTAAAAATACAACAATACACACAGTACATGATCTTCTTGCTAGCTTTAGTTTCATATGGTGACAATTACCGACCGGCGTCCGCTGGCTGGGAATTTTTCTACCCCACACAATTCCCATACTCCTCTTTAAAAAGAGTATTTACATTACAATTACATTGAGCGTTTTTGGATTGAATATATACATACATGTATTTATCTTTCAACTACATACCACATTCATACATGCATTGTTATACTAATTGCTGAACAGTGCGTCTACTAGCAGTGAAGATCTATTATATATAGGGACTTGTATCTCCTGAACGCCTTATTTCCGTCAAAACGACTCTCATTTTCGGTTTCAATAACCTTAAAAATCCCTAAAAAGTCTCATTTTAGTCAAATATTTTGCAGTCCAGATACTATACTTCAGCCTTATTTTAATCTTACGTATTTCATATCGAAGACATGTTATACCCCAAGCTTCACTTGCTTTATTTATACTATCAACAATACAAACATTAAGACCCTCTCTCTCCCTAAACACTTTGTCCAAAGATATTTTTCCTAACTCAGATCTCATTGTGGTTTGAGCTAATTGAACTACTGCAAATTCAGGGTCATCAACGCCATATGAAGCTAAGAATGGATTAATTACTCTCAAATATAGTACACCATCTATATTTAATGTTACATTATCTGTAAAAAAAATTTTAGATTTAGTACCGAACTCTTGATTTGACCATATATAAATACGCACCTGATGTAACAGCACTTTGTTGTGGTATTTCTATAGCTAATTCTTTGAGGCTCTGAACATATTTAATTCTATCAATTACTGGTGTAAGGATATTCAATCCTGGATTCAAAATTCTATGATACTTTCCCATTCTTTCAACAATCCATGCCTGATAAAATACAATTTTATTATTGTAAATATATTTTGAAATAAATTTAATTTTACAATGGTATACCAACCTCCTGCTGTGGAACAAATAATATAATAGTGTTCATAGGTGTATCAGATTTATATCTGATAAATTGTGCTACTGGTATTTTAGGAACAGCATGTTCAAAGCCAAGAATTGATTGATGCTTTAAAGAAACGTTTGATTATATATAATTACAAAACGTACAACTTCAAAAATTGTTTAAAAATTTGTAAATTACCCTGAAAATCCCAAAGTTACGAGCGAGTTGTTTAAATCGACAATTCATTTCCCATTTATATGTTCTTAACCACATTATACTGACAGACCAACGACGTGTTTTCCACTAGTATGATAGGTTAGTTCCACGCGTTTAAACTATACATAAAAGCATTCAATTTTTTCACCAGTTATATCTGTGAGAGAAACCGCTGAGCGTAAAACCAATTATGTCTTTCCATATAACATTCAAATAATCAATAAAAAATGCTTTTATTCATAAAATTTAATTCATTTTCCATATTTATTGAAGTATTGATGAACATGAATTTTATAGTTAGAACCTCGTTAGTTTAAAAGTTTGTTTGTTAAATCTCGACTTGTTTATAAACAGTGATGAACAAAAATACTGGGACAGATATAAAACTTTGTGTAAATCTGTAAAAAATACGATTCTTTGTTTAATTTTTTGTAACGTATAACTTTTCAGTTTAAAGTTTAAATATATTATAAGTCAGGAATTTTAAGCAGGAATATAATAAAATACACATGAAGTTAATATAATACACATGTTATATTGTAACTAAATGTTTACAATGTTGGTATGCATGTTATATCGCGGAAAGTCCCCTGATTCAAACAGATTGTCAATTGTCGAAGTTAGAAAATATATTTTACAGAGAAAGAAGAAAAACCCGAGTATGGGAAAAAATACGCAGAAAACAACACTTTCTGAAAGAATGATTATATTAAATTTACATGAACAAGGAAAGTCTTATTCAACTTTAGGAAAAATTGTTAACAAAAGTTGCTTTACTGTGAAAGGCATAATTAAACGATTGTTTGGTAAAGAAAATCTAATCAATGCTACGTGAAGTGGACGACCTCAGTATCTCACAGATCGAAAGAGTAGAAAAATAGTTAACATAGTAAAAAAAAAAATCCTAAAACTACATCATCCGAAATAGTTACAATACTAAAAGACGAATTTATTACCGAAATACACCCCTTAACAGTTCGAAGAATCCTCAGAAATGCCTAGTATTAGTCCAGAGGTACGAGATGAAAAACATGTATCAACAAAATTAATAGAAAAAATAGATTAAAGTTCCCAAATAATTATGTACATCAAAACACTGTATTCTGGGACAAAGTACTATTTTCAGATGGAAGCAAATTTAATATTTTTCAACATGATAGACGAGTTTTAGTTTGGTAAAGACCTAATACTGAACTAGATGAGAAAAACATTGTTCAAATAGTTAAACACATGGATGGTGGGATAATCATATAGGGGTGTGTGAGCTTTTGTGATGTAGGAGAGCTTGTTTTCAGTGAAAAATACAGATATTCAAATATTTTAAAACAAAGTTTAAAAAAAAGTGCGGCAAAATTGAATTTGAGAGATTATTACTTTCAGCACGATAACGATTCCAAATATTCGCTTATATTGTTCGCCAATAGATAATTTTTAATATGCCGCACATGTTATCGACCTCCTCCATAATCCCCAAAACTGAACCCTGTTAAACATTTTTGGTCTGAGTTAGGGAGAAGAATTAAAACACGTCATATTACATTATTTTTGAGTAATGGCAAGAAATAGGTTCATAAATCACAAAAAATTGGTGCATTCAATGGCTAATCGTTTGAAAGCAATAATAAAGAAAAAAGGATTACACACAAAATATTAATTTCAATATTGTAATAATTTATATTGCAAAATCGTAAGTGTGCTAATACTTTTGTCCTCTTGAAAACAGATCTTTATGTGTATTTTATTATCAGATTTTATTATCTTGGTTTATTATATTCCTGCTTAAAATTCACGACTTGAGATGTAGTTGAACTTTAGACCCGAAAGTTATATTTTGCAAAAAAGAATGAAACAAAGAATCGTATTTTTTTACAGATTTGCACAGAGTTTTATATGAAAATCTGGTCTGTGCTAATACTTTTGTTCGTTACTGTACTTATAAATTTTGAAGACGAAATATCTAGTCATAGTTCGTTTAAAAACGTTTCAGGATAAAAAAACACGAGTTCTTCGGAATATTTCACAACATAATGAACTATTACCATACGTATTTTATTTAAAATTATAATGCAATACCCAGAAGTTAATTTGTATTACAAAACAGGAAATTTTTTCTTGCTTAAGTATACTAATAAACATATGCCCAGGGCCGAATTTTGACGATATTATTATCATAATTAAACGACTCATGGAACAGAAAGTTTGAAATTAAAATAGGAAAATAAAAGGTAAAAATTAAATTAATATAACAACATAATTGGTAGTATATAAAAAATTAATCTTATTGGATAGATACCCTTTGAAGTTAGCCGACATTTTAAAAACTCTCAAATAAATGCTTTTGAAAAAAAAAGAAGACAAAATATCTCAATCACATTTACAATGCGCCAAAATCATTTTAATGTTATATTTTGTATATTTAAAATTATTTAGAAATTATCATAGTGATATGTCTGACTTCATTTGAGTGATTTTTCTACGAGATGTTTTTTTATCAATTTTTATTTTTTTTTGTTTTCTTATTTGAGGCCTCGGCAGATTGCGAGGCCCTAAGCTGTAGATGTTTTAGCTTATACGTAAATCCGACACTGCATATGCCCCTTGGTGTCTTGGGTGCGGCTAATCAATGTCCCTGTTTAGTGCTTTAATTTACAATCTCACTATATTGCTTCCACCAACAACGCACATGTTACGAGTAATATATTCCTATAGTGTAACATTTTGTGTTCCTTGAGTAATTATATAGTAATTATGATCCATTTACGTAATCGATATTGCAATCTACTCCTTTGCTCGATTATATAAATGGATGAAGTGGTTTAGATTTTAATCAGTGTTTTAAAAGAATTACATAGAAGTTAATGAAATTTAACACCATGAGTTGTTACTACGTTATATTGATAACGCTATCTGTGTTTATGTGGGCAGACGCCGAGGAACTCTATTCCAGTAAGTACGATTATATCAATGTGGATGAAATTATGGCAAATGATCGCCAACGGGAACAATACTACAAATGCTTTATGGATCTGGCACCTTGTAAGACTCCCGATGCAATATTCTACAAAGGTAAAGGATGTAACTTGTAAGAATTATCCTTGTAATGAAAAACCAATTTTTATTATACATTTTAAATGTGTATCTTGATATTAATACAATATAATTTCCAGGTCATTTATTTGAAGCATTCACAACTAAATGTAAAAAATGCACTGAAATGCAAAAACAGAATCTGGAAAAGTTGGTAGAATGGTATAGTAAGAATAAACCCGATCAATGGAATGCTTATCTGGAAAAAGTATTAAAGGATGCCAAGGGTACAGAGTGAATAATTTTTACTTTAAACTTTTTTTAATGAAATACTAATCTAAATGAATTGATAGTATTGTAGTGAAATTAGTTAGTGTAATAACGAACAGCAGTGTCTCGAAATATAGTTTAAATATTAAACAGCATTTATATTTCTTAAATTTCCACACCTTAATATAAATTATAATCTCATAT